TCCTCATAGATAACTCCTGCCCGTCGCACCCCCAGACGTGTCGGGGACCCCCTCACCACTCATGGCCCTGGAGCTTGGACCTCGCAGCAGCTGAGATGATGGAGAGGGGTCGTTCACAACATGGAGCTCTCACCTCAGCGCCGCGCGCGTGCGCCTGAAAGGCTTGCAGCCGTTATGAGGATGGGGGGCCCGTGCGTCCGAAGGGAGATGTCGCCTCACCGTCTGGCACACACGTCGTCGCGCCGAACACACTCGCCTTCCAAGCCTGCGGCAGCTAGGCCCTCGCTCTGCAGCCCCGAGGCACGCCGCCCGACGCCCCGGGGGGGGGGCCCGACAGGCGAGGGCGGCCCGCGCCGGGCGGCCCCCCGTCGCACGCTCCCCGCGTGCGCTTCTCGGGCTTGCAGCGGCCGGCTGGCGCCCCCGGGGCGGGGCGGCGGAGCTCCGCCGCGGTACCAGCGGGTGCCCCAGCGCGCCGCCGTGCTCCGCCCGCGCGCGCCCGCGCAGCGGGCGCCCCTCCAGGCGGCGGCCCGCGGACGGTGCCGACGACGGCACCGCCGCGGTGCCCCCGTGGGGGCGGCTCCACGCCCCCAGCCACCCCCCCCCGGGCGACAGTACGTCCGCGGCGGGCCCCTGCCCGTCGGCCTGGCGGCTCGGCCGCCCACGCGCTCTCGACTGGGGCCGTGCGAGCGCGCGCTCTCGCGGGCGGCCGCCGACTGTGGCGGCGCCCGCGCTGGGGGAGCGGCGGCGACAACGGGGTGTCTTACGTGTGCCTCTGCACGCGCGGCTGATGGCGTGCCGGGCCTTGGCAACGGGGTGCGGCTCGCACTTGCGCGCCGCGCTGCCGGCAGTGCTGCGAGTGGGCTGCTGCTTCCTGCTGCCGCTGCTACGGCCTCTCGGACAGGAGGCAGTGACTAGGGTCACTGGGCCAGTGGGCATCATCATCATCATCATCATCATCATCATCATCATCATCATCATCATCATCACCACCACCACCACCACCACCATCATCATCATCATCATCATCATCATCAGCATCATCAGCATCATCATCGTCATCGTCATCGTCATCATCATCGTCATCGTCATTGTAAGCAGCATCATCACTACCACCACCACCACCACCACCATCATCATCATCATCAGCATCAGCAGCAGCAGCAGCGTCACCATCATCATCAGCATCATCAGCAGCAACATCATCATCAGCAGCAGTATCAGCATCAGCATCAGCACCAGCCAGCATCATCATCGTCGTCATCATCAGCATCAGCAGCAGAAGCATCAGCATCAGCATCATCATCAGCATCAGCATCAGCATCAACAGCATCATCAGTAGCATCATCATCAGCAGCAGCAACATCGTCATCGTCATCGTCGTCATCGACACCAAAGCCGCCATCAGCATCGGCATTATCAGCATCATGATCAGCAGCACCAGTATCATCATCATCATCATCAGCAACAGCATCATCAGCATTATCGCCATCATCATCATCATCATCATCAGCAGCAGCAGCAACAGCAGCAGCAGCATCAGCATCGTCATCGTCATCACAATCATCATCATGATCATCACCACCATCATCAGAACCACCACCATCGCCATCGCCATCACCATCCCCAATTTCCTCCTATTCCCCATCCTCCCCGTTCCCATCCTCCTCCTCCCTCCTCCTCGCTCCTCGCTCCTCGCTCCTCGCTCCTCGCTCCTCGCTCCTCGCTCCTCGCTCCTCGCTCCTCCTCCTCCTCCTCCTCGTCCTCCTCCTCCTCATCCTCCTCCTCCTCCTCCTCCGTCCTCCGTCCTCCGTCCTCCGTCCTCCTCCTCCTTCTCCTCCTCCTCCTCCTCCTCCTCCTCCTCCTCCTCCTTCTCCATTCCTTTTCCTGATACGTACATAAATTCTCCCTGTCGCACCCCGAGGCCAGTTTTTAGGGCGGGCCGAACGTTCCGCCTGACACTACCTCACAACTTATGACCCTGAAGCTTCAACATTGGCAACGGTTTTACAAATGGACGGCGGGTGGTTTTCAAAATGTGACTCTTGCCTCGGCGTCGCGCGCATTCGCAATACTATATTGTAAGAGTTTCGCGGATTCAGGGCGGGTCCTTTTCAAAATGCGGCTCTCGCCTTAGCGCCGCGCACATTCGATTGTTTTAACCAGGGCTTCACAGATGGAGGGCGGGTGGTTTTCAAAATGTGGCTCTCGCCTTAGCGCCGCGCACATTCGTTTTACACATGTGTAAAAGCTTCACGGATTGAGGGCGGGTCCTTTCCAAAACGTATAGCTCTCGCCTCAGCGTCGCGAGCACTCGTTTTTGTAATGTGCACGAGCTTCACGGAGTAAGGGCGATGTCTTCTCAAAATGTGGCTCTCGACTGAGCACCGAGCACATTCGTTTATAACATTTGCAAGAGTTCCACGGGTTCCCATGATTAAAGTACCAAAATATGTTCTGGTAAGATTCAAGAGTGTGCGGGTGCAGTTACGTTGATTCGCGG